CTTTCCCTCCGTGTGCACCGCGTGACTCACCCGTGCTGTGTGCGCAGCCCACTCTCCTCACCGCGGCGCACCAGCCCATTGGAGGGAAAACCACAGTTGAACAAGAAAGATCCAGAGACATTGAAACATGCAACACGCTGACATATTTCAGAGGGAAAGGGGTGGTGGGGAGTGGGAGCTTGACCAATGAACTTACATGCATATATGCAAGCCCATGGACAGGCAACAGTGCGGGAAGGCCCGGGGAGAGGGCGGGAGCAGGGGAGAGGGGGCCAAGGTGGGGAAAGGGGGCATCTGTAATACTTTCAACAATAAAGATAAATAAAAAAAGAAAACACTACAGTTTACTCATTTTACTGTCGATGGATGTTAGGGTTTTTCCAGTGTGGGGTTGCGTGAACACTTCTGTATGTTCTTCGTTTTTCTTGGGTGTATACCCAGGAGCGGAATTGCCAGGTGCATTGAGCTTTGGCAGATACACTGCTCAACAGTTTCCCAAAGTGGAGGAGCCATTTCTCCCCCCTCTAGCAGCTATGAGAGTGCCCATTGCCGCACAGCCTTGCCATTGTGGAGGGGGTGCAGGGTTCTCAGTGGTTCTGATTGGCCCGGGATGTATACCTGACAGGAAGCTGGGCCAACCAGAATTTGGAATTGAGACCCAAGATCAGGCTGATCAGGCTGCTGAACACTTGAAAGGACAGAACACCATGGAGCCAGCTGTGTCCCTCCCCCTCTTAGAGAAGCCAGAGAGGGAGTCTGCAGAGGGGGAGGGAGTCTGCAGAGTGGGGAGGGAGTCTGCAGAGTGGGGGAGGGAGTCTGCAGAGTGGGGAGGGAGTCTGCAGAGTGGGGGAGGGAGTCTGCAGAGGGGGGAGGGAGTCTGCAGAGTGGGGGAGGGAGTCTGCAGAGTGGGGAGGGAGTCTGCAGAGTGGGGGAGGGAGTCTGCAGAGGGGGGAGGGAGTCTGCAGAGTGGGGGAGGGAGTCTGCAGAGTGGGGAGGGAGTCTGCAGAGTGGGGGAGGGAGTCTGCAGAGGGGGGAGGGAGTCTGCAGAGTGGGGGAGGGAGTCTGCAGAGTGGGGAGGGAGTCTGCAGAGTGGGGGAGGGAGTCTGCAGAGGGGGGAGGGAGTCTGCAGAGTGGGGGAGGGAGTCTGCAGAGTGGGGAGGGAGTCTGCAGAGTGGGGGAGGGAGTCTGCAGAGGGGGGAGGGAGTCTGCAGAGTGGGGGAGGGAGTCTGCAGAGTGGGGAGGGAGTCTGCAGAGTGGGGGAGGGAGTCTGCAGAGGGGGGAGGGAGTCTGCAGAGTGGGGGAGGGAGTCTGCAGAGTGGGGAGGGAGTCTGCAGAGTGGGGGAGGGAGTCTGCAGAGGGGGGAGGGGGGAGGGAGTCTGCAGAGGGGGAGGGAGTCTGTAACGGGGGAGGGAGTCTGCAGGGGGGGAGGGAGTCTGCAGAGCGGGTCAGGGCAGCAGATGCAGGAAGAGACAGGGTAAGAGCCACCGGTGTTCCTGGGGGGAAGGGGCCCTGAGAGAAGCAGTCCTGGCCTTGGGGAGGGTCTGGGGTGGAGGAGGCTCCACGGACCCAGCCTCATGCGCTGTGTGCTGGAGGGACCCTCTGTCTGAGGTAAGCGGCTCCTTTCCTTGTCACCTGCCCTTCCGCTTCAGCCCTTTAGAGCGGATTGTTCTTCCCTTGCAACAAAAGAGCCTTGAGAAGCAGTGCTGTTATCTGGCTACTTCCTGTCCCTCCTCTTCTCTTTCAGAAAGCAGGGCTTTGGGAAATGCCCGTCTCTGGCTCCCCTGAGGGAAGGAAAAGGGAGGCCGGCGTTTCTGGGTCTTGCTGTGTGCAGCCTTGCACAGGGTCACTGGCTCCGACGTGTGGCCCACGGCCCACCTCACAGGTGTGCAAAGTGAGGCACGGAAAGGTAAGGGATGGGCTCAGAGGTGCCTCAGTTGGGTGCCCCCCCGCCTCCCCCGGCTGACCTGGCTTGAACCCTGGGTCCCAGTTCTGCTGGACTCCACCCTGCACCTGGTCTCTGCCGGGCTTGAGTCTGAGAGCTCAAGGTGGCACACGAACACCTTGGCCACTGCTTATGGAGGCTGCGCCCACTGCCACCAAGACGGGGGACAGCCCAGGTGGCATAATGAGAGACTCAGAGTCCCCCAGCTCGGCCACCCCAGCTCCAGAATTCTGTCTCATTTCTGTCTCCTGCCCAGCAATGGCTTGTTCCAAACGGCCTTGGAGAGAAGCCTAATTTGCTTCCAGAAAGTTCCTCCTTGTCTGCACCTAAAATCCCAGGGGACATTGTTGTGTCCAAGTAGAGAACATAGTGGCCTCTAAGGCAAAGAGGAAGACCTGAGTCCAAATTCCATTCTCCACATCAGTGAGCTGTGGAACCATGGGCCTCGGTTTCCTCATCTGTGAAGTGGGCGTGAGAAATCATCCCCCACGGAGTTTTTGTCGGAATTAAATAAAGTAAAAGGGAAGGGTTTAGCCTCACGCTTGGCACACGAGACACCAATGCATGGCAATGGCGTTTCCTTTTATTGTAGTTGCTTTTGTCCTGGGAGCTCCTGGCAACAGGGGGCCTTTAAGGGCCCGTCTCCGCACGGGCTCCTGTTCTCAGTGGCTGCTGCTGCCCAGCGCCCTGTCCCCTCCCCTCCCCGCCCCCCAAATGCCTCACCAGGGAGCCAGGCCTCTCGGGAAGGCCAGGAGGCGTGGTTTGCTGATAGATGCAGGAAAACAAGCTGTTGTTTTAGAAATATGAATAATTGAGAGGGTTTCAGCAGAGACTTGGCCGGCATTAGGGGAATTGAAAACTAAGGCCAAGTCACCACCTGAAGCCGATTTCCTGATAAATAATTCACGGCACATGGACCTTCCGTGTCTGTCCTCCCACGCAGCCACCGCCCGTCACCTGGGCGCTGTCCTGACCTTGGTGGGGAAAGGCATCTGGGGAGGGAAATAAGAGCCAACACTGCAACGGGTTCCGATTTGAATTTCGTGGCAGCTTTGCCCTGCGGCTGTGATCGCTGATAGACGCTGTCCCTCTCTGAGTGGTTGTCCTGCCATCTGAGTGGACGATGATTCTTTGAGGAGGGACTTTGAGCAACACGGAGGCCTCTGCAGCCCAGAGCATGTGTAGGAGAGTCTATTCTGTTTTCAGCCCCCTACCTCCTCCCTTCAGCTCGCCTTCACAGAGTGCCTGCTCCGTGCCAACCCCGGGGCCATCGTGCCAGCGGAGGAGAAACCTGTAAGGGACAATTGCAATCCAGAGAGACGTGTAGAAGGCTGGAATGGAGCAAAAGGTGTTCGCTGCCCGAGGTGTAATCAGGGAGGGCTTCCTGGTGGAGGGGACACCTGGATTGAGTCTTATGGAGAGTTGGGTAGGAAAAGAAGGAAAGGGGTGGGTGTTCCAGGTAGAGAAAGAGTTTATGAAAAGCACCGAAGCAAGAGGAGGAAAAGTGCGTTTGTGGGACTGCATGGCGACCTGGGCCATGCATGTGGGTGTGGTGGGTAAATGGCTGGGGCCTGGAGGGCCCTGATCGTGAGGCATTTGCATTTGGACTTGAGCCTGAGGGCCATGGGAACCACTGACGGTGGAGCAGGGCCTGTTTTGGGAAGTTCCTGGGAGCTGGGTGGGCCGCGGGCTGGCTCTCTGGTGGAAACCTCAGGCCTCGGTGTGAACCCTTCTCAGGACCGCGTCATCCTTTCAGGAACAGCGCCCTTGGGTTCCCACTGGTCACCCAGACTCCCGCTGCTGCCGCCTTTCTGCCCCTCCATCGCATGAGCTCTGAGGGGTGAGGGCAGGAAGGAGCTGGTGTGGGGCTCCCCAGGAGGACACCCACCCACCCCTTTTCCGCGTTGTCAGCTCAGACCTGCCCCTGCCCCTGCCCGCTTCGGGGTAGGAGGTGGCCAGTGCCCACCGAGACCCACCTTCACCGGCCAGACTTACCGGAGGAGTCTCGCGCTGGGGCTCCCGGGGTGAGTCTGGCCCGCGGGAATGCTTTGTTGGAACAGTGTGTTGTTGGGAGGAAATGGAAAATGCTGTTTAAATACCAGGAGATCTCTCATACAGCGTCGGAGCCAGGCTCAGCTGTGGCCGTGCTGCTCACGTGTCTGTTGTGGGCTGGTGGGTCACGCGGGGCTGCCTGCGTTATGACGGCCTTGACTGCGGCTGGGGACCGGGGACCAGGGACTGTCTCAGCCATGTCAGGCTGGCTTGCTCACACATTGGCTGCGGAGTGAAGGGGGAGTGGGCAGGAGCTGCAAAGCCCCGAGGGCCCAAACCCTGCAGGGCAGGCCATCGCTGCCCCCACGGCTGGGGAAAGCACATCACAGACCAGCCCAGACTCAGGCCTCGGAGACACACACTCCTCGCGATGGGAGGTGCTGCTCAGGGCCGGGCCGCGCGTGCCGGCTACCACGTAGGTCTTGATTAAAAGGTGATTTCATTGGGAGGTAACGAGGCCTGTTAGCTTCGGTGGGGAGAATGGAGCGGGGCGGTACCTGCCTCAATATCCTCCCCGCCTCTCATCATTTGTCACAGAATGTCCAGTTATGCCTACGCACTGTTTGCTGGAATAAGAACAGATTCCCTCATGTTCCTTACAGCAAGGTGTCGCCATGTTATGTGGGGCTTTTAGGAAGTCTCCTTAAAAAAGAGAGGTCAAACCCTGGCCTGTGTGGGCATCGTCCCATAAACCAAAATGCTGAGAGTTTGATTCCTGGTCAGGGCACATGCCCAGGTTGTGGGTTTGATCCTGGTCTGGATGCGTACAGGACACAACTGATCTCTCTCTCTCTCTCTCCCGCTCTCCCTTCCTCTCTCTCTAAAATCAATAAAGAAAACCAGATCTTTGAGTGAGGATTAAACAAATCTACAAAAAAGAAGGGTCAAGCCTTACTTCTCTCCTTCACCAGACCCCTGTTCTCCTTGCTGCTGGACGGAGATGTGCTGGACGGAGGTGTGCTGGACGGAGGTGTGCTGGATGGAGATGTGTTGCTGGCGCTTGGGCAGCCATCCTGGACCATGAGGAGGAGGGCCATGAGGATGGTGGACCAGAGATCTGGAAGGGGCTGGGCTCCTGATCACTGTGGAGCCACCGTGCCAGCCTGGACCACCTGCCCGGTGTTGCCACCGGTGCCGACAGCTGTCCCTGCTCTGCAGAACTGCTCTGGGTTGGAGGGGAGCTATTCCACCAGGACGTTATGTTCCCCACACGTAGGCTGTGCAGGCATGACGGCCCTTGACTGAAGGTGGACCCAGCTGTGAGTTACAATTGCCGCTCCCCACAGGGTCAGCCTGAGGCCGGTCCCCAGCCCCATCCCTTCCCATCCTCCTTCCGCACCCCCTTTTCCTTGGAACTCTCGCAGGACTCCTGTCTCAGGCTCTGCCTCCAGCGATCCCACCCTGGACCCCACTCGCTGCCCCTGCCCACGATGAGCCTCAGAACCAGAGTCGTGCGCACCCACCAGCTCCTGGCTCAGAAAGAACCACAATCACCAGATGCAATCCATCCATTCCGCCCCCCTGGTCTGAGAATGGGCAGAAGAGGGGTTGGGCACTGCCTGTGTGAGAAATGACCTCCTGCCAGGCCAGGGGACGAGGCTGGGCCGGGGCGGCTCAGGAGGAGCGGCCCCAGGTGCCCCAGAGCCGCCAGCCTGTGAGGCCTGCCGCCAACCCTGCCCCCTTCCTGCCTGCACGCTCCAGGCCTGTTTGAAGTCTGCGGCTGGCTGCCGCGGTCTGCTGGACAGACAGCATTTGTAAGCAGCTCTCTCCTCCGCTCAGTTAATAATTTAGGAGCCAGGGCCTGCAGCCAACCCATCATTCCAACCCCACTGCACCCCGATCTCCGAGCTAGTGGACAGGAAAGAAAAAAATCACCGTGCCCACGTGAAAAATGACCTCACTTCAAGTACTTGCCGCGCCCCGTGCTGGGCGGGAGAGCGCGGAGGTGTCTGGGGCTGACAGGGGGGGAGGGAGGGGGGTACATGGGCTCAGCTTGCACACCTCGCCATGCTTAACGCTGGATCCTGAGCCACACTGGTGTTTGGACGTGGCAGGACCCAGCTGTCTTCCTCCGATTCAGCCTTTCCTTCTCCTCTCGCCCGCTTGCTCATTCATTCATTCATTCATTGGGCAGTCACTGATGCCGCCGACGGGGAAGTGGGCAGGGAGGACACACAGTGGGGAGGTCAGCACCTCCCCTTAAGGGAGGCAGACACGCACAGTGGGGCCCCTGCGGATGGCTGCAGCCTGCTGCCTGGGTCTGGAGGGGCCCTGAGTGTGCAATGCCGAGTGGGGATGGGGGCGATGAATGAGAGCTTAATAGTTAAGACCAGGGAGCCTGGGGTTAGGCTGCCCTGGTTCAAATTCCAGCCCTGCCAACAACTTATGAAGAGTTAGCCGCCCCATGCCTCAGTTTCCCCATATGTGAAACGGAGTCACTAATGGAGACACGCAAACTACCTTCTGTTGTTAACACAGTGAACAGGGGGTTAGTTCAGTCAAAAATCCCGAAACGGTGACAAGGCGCTGACCACTATGGAGCTGCTTCCAGGAGACGACTTGGCCGTTCCTTACGAGGTTAAGCGCGCAGCCCACCCGGCATCCCTCTCCTGGGTGCTGACCCAGGCGCTCACATGCTCACCAAGTCCTGTGGGCAGTCTTTAGGAGTGGCTTCCCAAGCTCCCAACCTGGGAACCGCCAGGGCAGAGTCAGCGGGGGGAGGGGGGCAGGAGGAGTTCAGGGACAGATGGGACGTGGGGCTCGGGAGGGCCCAGGCGTGGACGGCTGGAGGGGACGATGCTTCCAGCCAGAGAAGCCATGGCCGCGGAGCAGCCGAGAACATGAGCTGCACGGTGGCTCGCAGGGCCTCCAGCAGAGTGAAAGCGGCCGGGCTCAGGGGCTGCGTGCCGTGTGACTCCCCGTATGTAACATTCTAGAAAACGGGGGGGCAGGAAACTGGTCAGTGATTGTGGAGGGGGAGGAGGGCTGACCACGGGCACGAGGGGATTGGGGGCTGATGAAACAATTAGGCTCTGGGTGTGTGTGATGATGGACACATGACCGTGTGTTTTGTCAAAGATCATAAAGCTGTACACAAAAAGGGTGAGTCATACTGCATGTACATCATGCTACAGGTACATCATACTACAGGCACATCATACTACATGTACATCATGCTACAGGCACATCGTACTACATGTACATCATGCTACAGGTACATCAAACTGCATGTATATCATACTGCATGTATATTGCTATAGGT